TTTATATGACTAAAAAAATGACATCTAAAGGCATTGTAATAAGATTATATAACATTTTGTTGGTCTTGTAACAGATTTTTTAGAACATTTTTATATAAAAAAAATATCATATTAGTTATTTTATATGACACTATTTGAAAAAACGTCATGCAAAAACAAGTGTCTTATAAAAAAATGGGTTTATCGGATAATTCTCAAAATTATTCTATAAAATAATTAATCATTTTTAATTAATAATTTCTACAAATTACTTAAATGTATGACAACCATAAACAAAACATTACTTTTAATAAAATGTTACTTACCTTTTACTTTAAGTTTATTTGAGTGCATAAATAAATTTTTATTATTTAAAAATATTGTTTTTTAAAAACTCTAATAATTAATTTTTTATTTGGATAATACAGTTTTAGTGTTTACAGTATTTCTAACAAATTCTTTATAATAGATAAGTTATGGGTTATTTGGCAGTTGTTGAATGCTTTCGTGCAAAATGATTAAAAGGCTCACATGATATAGTGCAATATGAAATATAATTGTTTGGTAATTGTTTAAAATAAAATTAGGGCGCTGAATGATTAAGGGATGCCCATGATACAAAATCATTCAGCGAGTTTTAGAACCATTAAGAGACAGAAATACTGAAAAATTATTACCATAAAAGAGAAATAATTTTTTTTATTATATTCGGCAAATAAAAATAATGATATTAAATATTTATGAGAGACGTTTTTAATTGAGAGGCATTTTCGTTCTTTTATCGATATCTTTTGTCTTTTACCCAATCAAAAATCGAGAACCAATATTGATAAAAGAACAAAAATAACTCTTATTTAACAGAATTCTTTGACAGACGTTATAAGTAGATACTAAATCCGAATGTTTAAGCAAGCTATAATGCCCGTCTTGTAATTTTGAAACTGAAAGAACGAAAAATGTTATTTTTGACAAACTATAGAGACCAAATTTGTGATTTAGTAACCACAAGGGTGGTGTCCGATTGGTTTGAGCTTGGACTCCAAAGATCAAAAGTGCCTGGAAGTCCCATGTTCGAACCCAAGGAAGAATAAAAATCCTCTTGTGGCCATGGATGTTCAAATGCGGTGACTCCAAACTACCCATGAAACGGTTGATCGTCCTGGGATTAGTTGGCTCGAACAACGGGTTGGATGTTCAGGTTAATTAAATAAAAAAATTGCGAAGAAAACCACTCCTTAAATGTAATTTTAAGCAAGAGTAGCACATTTCGCCATTATTTGTACCATTTTATAAAGTATTCAGATAAAACTCTTAAATTTAAAAATTACAGCATCGTATTAAGTACAGATCATCGATGCAGTAATTAAAAATAGGTGGAATAGCTTTTATGCCTAATAAACGAGTCCAAGACATCGAAATCATTAGAGCAGGGTCAGGTCTCGATTCAAAAGGATACGTGCATAAAAGTCTAAACAGGAAGTTATAAATTCCCCATCTCATCGGGGGCGGAAAGCGAATCGACATCTTGATGTGATACAAAATTTTCTATTTTTTTTTTCTTTTTGAAGTATGTAATATTTATATACGATAAATAGAACAAATAAACTCACACATCCTCCTCACCTTTGCTGAGATTTGAACCTCCCGACCTCCTAAAAAGCCAAAGACTCATATACCGCTAAGCCAAAAGCCATTTGGTAAAATTTTCTACTCTTAGTTAGGAAAGAACGACGAATATCGAATAGATTTTACAAAAAAGTTTTCATTTTGAGAATAAAATATCAATTATATTATTTAAATATTTAATAAAATATTTCTCTAAAACATTTAATTTCAAGAATTATTATTAATATAAATAATAATAAATCATTTCTACAAATCACAAATGTATTGAAAGTTATGAAGAGAGTGGACATGGCTTTGAAAACCCATCTCACCAATATTGATCCCTTTAAGAAGAATCAAATACACATGTCATGTTAATTTTGTATTAAGTTTTGTATGGATAAAGTTGTCTGTATGAATTATCTGTCTGTATAGATTGGAATATTTTTTTATTGATGAAAAGAACATGTTTTTTAATTAGGAATAACAGGTTTGAGAGAAACTTGACTTTTTGCATAAAAATATCTCTAATAACTTACTGAAGAAATAATTTTTTATATCAAAAGTCACTATTAAACAATGATGCATAGCTGAACCAATAAGCTGTGAGATGTGAGTCTCGTTAAGCCGCTAACAAACAGGTCTTTAGCATATATTTTTGTACAAATGCATATAATTTATATGAGCATTTTCCATCTCATTACATTATAAGGGTGTTGCCTGATTGGTTTGAGTTTGACTCTAAATATCAAAAATACCAGGAGGTCTCAGGTTCAGATTCAAGGAGAAATAAAAATCCCCTTGTGGCTACGGAGGTTCAAATACGGTGACTCTCTGCTCGCATAACGGGTTGGATATCAAAGTTAATAAAAAAAAATACCCAGTTAAAATTGTAGAAAATATATTCTTATAATTAATTATTAGTTTATGACAATTATATAATGAACGTTGAAATCTGTTAAGAATGAAAAAAAATGTAAGAACAAAAATTCATATATTTTAATCTATATTCAACTACTTTTATTTACCTACTTTTATCATCATGACTGAAAGTTTAACAATTTATGTATGTAAAAGTGATTAAATGTATGTAAAAATATGTGAAATTGACTTCAAAACGAAAATAAATTTGAATAAAAAGGCAGATGAAAAGTATGTTACCCAAAATAAGAATCACGTTAAAGTACATTACTTTTTCATGCAATTTACCTACTAAAATATCTCATTGTTACCTACTTGTAACCATGATGTCTAAAAAAAATTGGAAAAATAAATGAGAACATGTGTTTGGAGCGCACCCGTGAGCTTAAAAGCTTACAGTAGAAGATCCATGGAGATTACGACTTGCTGCCACAAAATCAAATCAGAAAACGTCCCTACGGACCCCACAACCGTCGTTAAGTCATCGTTGCCGTCGCCGGAAAAACTTCCACAGCTCTCTTATACTTGCACTCTACTTTTCCAGTCCACGCGCCACCACTTACCGCCACTCCCAAAGCCCAATCACCTCTGACGTGAGTTCCACGCTAACCACCATGCGAATGGGTTTTAAGCTCACGATCATCTTTCCCATTGCGACATTTTGGACTTCCGTAGGCAGTGGCGGATCCAGGATTTTTGTTCAGTGGGGTCACCTTTAAGGTAGACTAAAAATCCGCAAAATCGTCCGATGTGTGTTTAACCTAATTACAACGTTTTCGAGGGAATTTTAAAGTTTTTTGGTTGATTTCGAAGGATTTTTTATTGTTTTTGTCGATTTCGAATAACTTTTTTGGGTTTTTTGATTGATTTCAACAGTTTTTTTTGTTAGAGTAACAGTTTTGATTGGGGTTGGGGGCCCACGGAAAAATGTAATGGGGGGAAAGTGAAAGGTAAATCATGTAAAACCTAAATTTTAACCTATGAATTTTTGTTTTTGAGTTTTTGACTGGGGTCCCTTCCCCCCTCCTTTAAACCACTACATCCGCCCCTGTCCGTAGGGACTATAAAGAGAAATTAACAGAAACAACCAATCCAACATAACGATAACGGAGAATTACCATTTGATTATAAGAAACAAATATTGGTAAAAAAATTCAAACAATGATATCATTTGACAATAAGAAAGACATATACGGTACTTTTTTCAAACAGTGACATTATTTACGTAAGATATGACACCAATACGATTTAAAGTCGGGTATGGGGTAGAAAAAGCTTTATCAACCAACTCTACCAAAGAAAACTTGTTTACATTGTAATTTTAAAATACATGCGATGACAAAAAACAAATTAATACGGTGACACTTTTCACCATCCTAATTTTTTTTACACCGGGACGGATGAAGAATACGATTGGATGGATCACCGTATGCTCTACGTCGGTCCGTCACTCCATCAACTGGTTTTCCAAATGATCAAAGTTTACACAGAAAATGAGTTTCTAAAGGGCTGTTTGACAGTTGCTTAATAGTTTGGTACAGAATGATCAAGAAGTTCTCATGATATAGTACAAAATAAAATATAATTGTTTGGTAATTTTTTACAATAAAATTAGGGTGTTGAATGGTTAAGGGAGGCCCATGATATAAAATCATTCAGAGGGTTTTAGAATCATTAAGAGACAAACTTTTTTCTACTCAAACAAAATTCATTTTTTAACGATTCAAATGTTGCCTCTTAATAAAACTATTAAGAGGCAAACAATCACCTTATATCAACTTTGGTTATTTGGGGAAAACCATTTGATGGAGTGGTTATTTCCGTCGATTTCTGAGTATAAAATATAAGGAACGACTCCATTTATGCAATAATTCCCGCCTTCTTCGTTGTTCTCTCTCTTCTTTCTCTCTCACACAGTTCCGCTGTGTGTTCTTGTGAATTCTTTTGAGTTCTGTAATCTCTGATTCATGGAGGTTTGATGATTTGATGGATTAGTTGGATTGATTCATTTCGGAATATAGTTCAACAGATCATACGTGAGTAATATGTTGAAATAATCATCGTTTTCACATCCTTTAATCTCTGGTTCATGGGAGTTTTTCTTCCAGTTCGACATTGTTGTTGATTTTGAGTTGTTCGTCTAATCGTCTCCAAGTTATCTGAATTTTCGTGAGAAATTACAGTTTGTTCTTGGGTTCTGGATTAATGGAATTATGGAGAAGTTTGATTTATGTCTTCAATGAAAATGATCATTAAACTATCGATTTCAATTCCTATTTTTTTGATTTTATCGCTGTTGCCAACCCCAAACTGCTTTTTGATCTCTGTACAGCTCATTCATGGGGGAATGTTATCTTTTTGATCTTTTCCCCCTTTTTTCATCATCACCTACACAAATCCACGCATTTGTAAACTTGAACTTTTGATATTATGTTTGTTTAATCCTTTTTGGTTATAAAGTTCTTCTGGGTATCATTCAATTTTGGATTGGTGTAATGGGTTGTTCGCCATCGAAGCAATCGGTTTGCAGGAATTGCCAAGCTCAATGTTCGCCGGCGAGAAGGAGCTCTTCCGCCCACGCCCACCGTTCTCCTCCACGCGAAGAGAACCACCACGTCGTAGCTCTCACCTCCACCACTCTCGGTTATCTTCTGCTCGATTCATCTAAACAGAATCAGGTGCGCCATGATCAAGCAGTCAAAACTCAGATTCGTCAAGAACCTGTTCGACGAGATGTCCCAATGAAGAACAGCAAGGATTATCAAGAACCAGTTCGACGAAATGCTCCAGAGAAGAACAGAAAGGATTTTGCAGTCGGGGTGATCGAGGCCAAGACTTGGTCGAAGATGATCGATGAAAAGGTCGCAAGAATCTCCCCGAAAACACCCATCGAAACGCCTCCTGGTGAGCCGGAAACAATCAATGCGTGGGAATTAATGCAAGGTTTGGATGATACAAGCCCTCTCCGACCGCCATCCGCGATCGATCACATCCGTTGCTTCTCGTTCAATGTTAATTCCAACTCGATTGCGCCGCATCTCGATGAACCCACATTTGTATCCGAAGAAAAACACCGGGATACTGAACGATTGAGTAAACCGATTTGGCTACAAATAGTCGAGAACCGTTCTGATTCAAATTCTAACTCAAATGACACATGTATAGCATCAGATTTTGATCCAGACTCGATTGCTGCATTAAGAAATTCATTCGAAATTTTACCTCCAACGAACCCATATCACCCGAAGCCATTGATCGAGGAGAAACATCCGTCTTCGGAAACAAAGAAATCGCTACAAAACGGGAAAAGCGAAAAATTGATTTTATACTTCACAAGCTTACGAGGAGTTCGAAAAACATACGAAGATTGCTGCCACGTTCGAGTCATTCTAAAAAACTCCGGTGTTCGAGTCGATGAACGGGATGTATCGATGCATTCCGGTTTCAGGGAGGAACTCAAAGAGCTATTGGGCGATAGATACGGTTGTGGCGGGTTGCCGAAGGTGTTTGTGGGGAAGAAATACGTTGGGGGTGCTGATGAAATCCGACGATTACATGATGAATTTCAGCTCGAGAGGGTGTTGGAAGGTTGCGAAATGGCAAATGATGGCGGCGACGGCTGTGGTGGACGTGGCGGTTGTGAGGCGTGCGGGGACATAAAATTTTTCCCGTGTGAAACATGTTCGGGTAGTTGTAAGATTTACTACGAAGTGAATTCCGATGATGGTGAAAAAGGAGATCAAGAAAACAATTACGGGTTTCAAAGATGTCCTGACTGCAACGAGAACGGACTCATACGGTGTCCGATTTGTTGCGATTAAATCCGCTCATTTTCGTTTACTATTTTTTCACGGGTTTGTTTATTGTATAGTCGAGATCTATTTTCCATTTGGCGTACATTGTGTGATTATTGGCGTTTATAACGGTTTATGATTGGTGTTTATATGTTCAAAATCTTTTTGTGTACTATATTATAAAACATTCGGTTTAATTTATCAAGTACTAGGAGTATTACTTAAGGATCGTGTACAAACGATCCATGAATCTGGATCCTGTTGCATATAGATATAAATGGTCCACTGGATACGCTCCGAGGTACTCGTTGCCTGCCAACCTGTGTCAATTTCGAGTACAGGTACCTCTTGTTGAAGGTCGTTCGACCTTTTACTACGAGTATGGCATGAGTTACTTTAGCACGTGCACACTTGTTGAAATGGTTCCCCATGTCGAAGGTTTTGGCCCCTCGATGTCGGCGTTTCACCACCTTGGTTATGTAAGTGCTTATTGTGTAAGAGGCACCACTATCATTTATCTTACTCTTTAACATTCTCGACCTCCAACTGCAGAGTTGAACACAACACTGACTTCGGCCAGTTTCTTTCATCAATCTCCTGACCCTTGCTTACCTCCTTGTTCCCTGAACCGGTGGCGATGGTCGCTGGTTGCTCTGATCGGACCCGGACACACGAGAGCTCAGCCCGAGAGGAATGCATGGTTCCCCGACGCTTAAGATAAGAGCACATACAAACCAAGGCTTCTAAAGTTGTCGGAGGTTCCATCATCAAGAATGGAACCTCCGACAACTTTAGAAGCCTTGATAGATGGGAACAAATGCTGTCTTATAAAGAACTGGATACCTCTTTTACAGATGCGTATAAAACCGTGAGTCCAGATACAGATAAAGTTGACAATATCTGGTACAGTTGGCTTAAGATGATATACATTGTATCCTCCAAAAATAAGAAAGTGGCCAAAGAGGAGAAGGTGAATTGCTAGAAAACACCATACAATACAATACAAGCATTTGGTGCCAAAAGTTGTGGGTACCTCACTTATGTACCTGCTCTCGTTTGGCACCAATCGAATCATATTGAATGTTTAGATAACAAAGACGTGACTGAGAGGTTGTTGATTACGTAAAACAAGTCAAACGGATGTCGGTAATGTCTTGCACATGTGATAAATGAATGGAATTATGGATTTTGATTTACGAATGTTTGATGTGGATGAAATCTGGTATTGAAATCGTATGACTTTAATCAACTTCACAGGTTGCTATAAACATTTCTTTTTTTTAATAAATTATGATTATGGTCTTGTGGTTTATATGTTTTTTGTCTGTATGATTTGTAATTCATTGTTGTTTTCGTCCCTCAAGCTCACTCCTTCAGTGGGTTACTGTTAAGCATGAGGGACGAAAACAACAGTGAATTGTAAACCTGAGAACAAAAAAAAATCAAAGAAGTGAAATCCACGAGGACGAAAACAAGAATTTCAAAGGCACAAGAACGAAAATAGCAATTTTCAACAAACAATGAGTACAAAAAAAAAACATAGGGTCCATTTACTAAAAACTTACTTGATAAGTGCTTATCGGATAAATTTCCTTATCGGATGAACATGAGAAGGGCCAAGAATCTTACCGGGTAAGAACAATGAAAATGATAGAAAGTCTTACCCGGTAAGCAAGGATGACGACTTTTACCCAGATGAGCACTTACCCAATAACTTGTTGCATTTGATATGTTTTGATGTACTAAAATCTTACGTATCAAAATAAATTATAATGTTGAATTCTATCGGTAAGCATTTACTGGATAAACATTTAGATAAACGGCCCTTTAGTTTACTCTTTCTTTAAGTAACCACGTTTACCCTGATTTGTTATTTTTTATTTGAAATAAAATCAATATATAATTAATTAATACATTAAATTATACAAGTTAATATGGTGCGTCATGCGGGTTCGGTTGGGCAAATCAAAAACTCGATCGGATTCGGATATAGAAATCAAGCCTGATTTTTAGGTCTTGGATTGCTTCGGGTTCAGGTTCGTCGAGTTTAGTCATAATGCAAAAAATATATATATTCAATCGATTTAGAGAATTGATAACTCAATAGTATGTTTGTAAAAGAAAATAGCACCGCCGATTAAAATTTTTAGAATTTTTCAAAAAGATAATCGGGCGACCAAAAATAAACCCAACACGAACGCATCGGGTTCTTGGATTTCGGGCTTTCGGGTTCTGCATAACACGTTGAGGGTCTGTTTGTTTTTCAAAATTACCTCTTAATACCTTTGAAATCTGATTCGTTCAGACGTTTGAGTATTTAAAGCGTTTGTTTTATTTCTAAAATAAGAGCTTAAAAGCTCTAAATGTCATTTGAAATTTTAAGTTATAAACGTATCATTTAATGCCTCTTAATCCTAATCCGTCATCTATCAAATGGTTCATATTTTGGGGGCCGGAAGAGATTTTTTTAGCAAAAACTATTTAATTTTTATATTTTTGTGATAAACTATTTATCTTTTATATTTTGCACTAGTTTTATCGATTCAGATTTCAGACTTCAGACGTAAAAACAAACAATATTACTGATCCAGATTTTAGACTTCAAAACCACATTTTATAAATTAAAAGTGGACTCAGAATTCAAACTTCAATATCTCTTAAAAAAACAAAAATCACGTGTATTTTAAATTTCTTTAATATTTTTTGTATTTTATTTTTGTTCTTAAAATCTTCATTTGTCGTTGTCATTAATAAATAACGTCTCCCTTTGACTTTTCTATTTTAAAGTTATTCATTTATCATTTAATGTAATTTAGATTTTTATTGATTTTTTTATATATTTTTTGAAACTATAAAGAATTTTATATATATATATATATATATATATATATATATATATATATATATATATATATAGAGCGAATAAATTTATAAAACATTCTGTTTGATATGTGTTTTTGAAATTACCCACATTGATTAACTGATTCTGTATAAAACGTGATGTCTTCAACCAGAAACAAGTTATTTTAAGCGTTAAAAAAGGAAGAAAAGGTGAACAATATTTTTGAGGTCAACAAAGGAACCATGAATCGATTTATCATCAAACAGATGTCGTAACGTATTAAAAAAACCAGTATAATCAAAAAAATTAAATGAAGAACAGTGTAAGAATAAGTTAAGGTGAGAAACGCAATAATAGATCTGCACTCTTAATCACTTTTAATCTCACCCTCACCCCATGGATTGTGTTTATCACAAGAATTGATCTGATGCATCTCAGTGTACACCATTAGTGTTGATCTTCAATTATGATTGATCCAAATGTGGAGATCTTTTCTCACCCTCTCACCATAACTTTCATTCTCACCGAAACCTAGCCCAAAAAAATTAAGGGTCATGTTTAGTTCATCTCATAAGGCCTCCAAAAATATATGGGAATAACATGGTCAGAGCTAGCTCATGTGCACTTTATCTGATCTGTGGACCATTGAATATAACAGTCAGAAAAAAATTCACTGACATTAAAGAAACTCGAACCGACAAGAAATATGTCGTAAAATTGTACCGTCTCCATCCAATTGGGCTTTTTTATGAACATTTACCATGTTCATATAATTGGGCCGTATGTTGGGCCTATTATCTCTCTTGGCCCAATTTACATTTATGTTGGCCTACCAAAACTACGTTTTCTCCATCTCTACAATTAGGATTTAGTGTCGATTCGAGTTTTCAACAAGTTATTTAACCTCGAGCTTAATAATTCTCGAGTTCGAGTCGATATAGAACACGACATAGAGTTCATGTGGTTTAACGAATCGAGTTTCATAACACCGGTAATTCCTACGTGTTTCATAATACCTTTTATTATTGGGTTTTTATTTATTGCAATTCAATTACCCAATTCGTTATCTGTTATTTTAACTGATAAAATATCGATACAAGTATCGGTTTTTGTAACATAAATAGGTATCTTACTACACGTTATTTTGAATGAATATTATAATGAAAATAAGAGTATTTTCGAAAAATAACATTTTACGTTCATGTATTTTCGAAATTATAAGATGACCACCGTTGTATGCGAAGACGTGCGGATTTGATCCCTGCTTTTAATGGTCGTTATAAAATTTCGTTAAATAAGAGGCACTTCCGTCATTTTATCTGTTTTTTTTTTTTTTGTCTTTTACAAAATCAAAAAGCACAGAGACCAAAATCATAAAATCAATTTTGATTGGGTAAAAAGACAATAAACGGACAAAAATACCTCTCATTTAACGGAAATTTTTAATGACTGTTACAAGCAAGGATCAAATTCGGACGTTTTTACGAACTACGACGGTTATCTTGTAATTTCAAAACTACATGAACAAAAAATGTTGTTTTCGATAGGGGTGAGTATAGGCGGGTATCCGCCCTATTTGACAGGAACCGGAACCGGAACCGGAACCGGAACCGGCGGTTCTTGAGATATTGGAACTGGAACCGGTTAGAGCGGTTCTTGAATTTTTGGAACCGGAAACCGGTTCCGGTTCCAGGTACCCGCTTCCAAAAATATTAAAATTTTGTTATTTAGAAATAAAAAAAAAACATTGCCAAAACACTAAATAAATAAACAAGAATACAAATTATAAGGAATAATGGTTATAAATATTATTTAATGATTACAAACCATAATATACTAATAGTAACTGTTGAAAGTTTAACGATTATATACTATAATTGTAAATGTTCAAAATTTAACGATTACATACTATAATTCGATTTGAAGACAATCCGTGAGAGGCTCCAGACCTGAGAGTATGAGTCGATGAGGCGCAGAGGCGGGACCAAAAATCTATTCTATAATTCTAATTTCTTGACCTAATTTAAATTTAGTATTAAAAAATTAATTAATTTTTTTAATTGAAAAATACCGGGTACCAGCCGGTTTCGGGTATCCAGCCCCGGAACCGGTTCCGGCGGGTAACGGTTCCGAAAACTTGAGAACCGGAACCATTCTCAATCGGTTCCGTATTTTAGGAACCAAAACCACTCATATCGGTTCCAGTTCCAGAACCGACAGTTTCAAAGCAGTTCCGGTTCCGCAAGTGGATACCCGGTTCCACTGCTTACCCCTAATTTTCGACAAACCACGTGTACCAAATTTGTAATTTAGTCTAAAAATAACCCTTATTTTTATACAATTACCATTTCAAGTATATCATGTTCACCACACCATGACTATTTGTACACAAACTAACAAATTTCATGTTCATTGTAATTGGGAAAATATTAATTGAAATAGATTTTTTTTTGAGAACCCATAAAATTATGATAATTTTAAGAATTTGTGTATTATGTGTTATTTTAAATGATTTTTTTTCCATCTAAGTCTAGGATTTAGAATATTGATTAACATATATTTGTTTCAAAATGTGTTTGTTTCACATGTGCTCGGTTCACAATGTGAACCTATTTGACGTGTTTGTGGAACACAAAATACACATAAAAAAGTTTTACATTTTGAAACGAATAGATATAAGACAAATATGTTTTGAAACAAATATATGTTAATTAATGCATTAAATAGTATGTCTAGATTGGAAAAAAATCATATGAAATAACACATTATACACAAGTTTTTAAGGTTACCACAATTTGAAGGGTTGTCACACGATTATTCATATACATATATGTATATACATATATGTAAGTGAATAATCGTGTGAGAAAGAAAGTTAAGATAAGAAGCGTAAGAAAGGGATCTACACCCTTGATCACTTTTAATCTTTTGCCTACCCATGAATTGCGCTTCTTACAAAATTGATTTGGTGCATCTCATCCTAATGTACATTCAAATGTGGAGATCCTTTATTACACTTTTCACATTAACTCTCCTTCTCACGGGAAGGATGAGATGCACTGAAATGCACTAGATCAATTCCCGTGAGAAGCCCAATTCATAGGTGGACAAGAGATTAAAAGTGATTAACGGGCCGTTTACCAAACGTTTATCCGGGTAAGCGCTTATCAAGTAACATTACTTTACCGGATGAATATGGTAAGTACCGAGAATCTTACCCGGTAAGAGCAAAGGCAAGTACTAAGAGTCTTACCCGGTAAGTGAGAGCGATGACTCTTACCACAGTTAGCGCTTACCGGATAAATTGTTGCATTTGATATCATTTTGGTGGATTAAAATCTTATCCGGTAAGTAAGTGATAGTGTTGAATTTTGTCGGTAAGCACTTACTGGATAAACGTTTGGTAAACGGCCCTTAAAAGTCCAGATCCCTTCTTAAACTCATCACATTAACTCTTCTTCTCACACAGTCCTTCTCTTGTATGTATATTTTAAAATTGTAAAACTTTAAACATGCATTTTGAAAATGTATTAAATTTTTTGATAATGAAGTAGTGAGTAAACTACAAATGTGGTCCTTGTGGCTTGTCAAAAGTAACAGTTTTTGTCTCTGGATAAAATTATAAGATGGTCATCATAATTACATAAATGTTTAAATTTGGTCCCTCCTGCTAACAACCGTTATAAAATTTCGTTAAATGAGATGCATTTTCTTCCTAAAATGAATCTTTATCTTTTCCCCAATCAAAAATCATGGGTACCGTCAAAGACCTTCCAGCCTACTGGTAAAGGCTTGGGCATGACATAGTTATGAACCCGAGTTCGAGCCCTGGGAGGGGAGTGTTGGCGACATTTAAGTGGGGCCATGTTTAGCCTCCAAATTTGCCGGGGATTAGTCGGGCTTTGGCCCGGACACCCTTACAAAAAAAAAATCACGGGTACCAAAATCATAAAATCGATTTTAATTAGGTAAAAGGTAAAAATTGATAAAAGAACGAAAACGTCTCTCATTTAACTAAAAAATTTAGTGGCTATTAGAATAAGGGACCAAATTCAGATGTTTTTACAAACCACGATGACCATCTTGTCATTTCAAAATTACAGAGATGAAAAGTATTATTTCCAAAGAAAACCATAAAGACCAGATTTGTAGTTTACTCTAAAATAATAATACGTTTTATTTTCATGGATTTTGTCACATTTAAATAATACTGAGTTTTTGAAGTAGAAAAAAATAACAGTATTAACATCAATCTTGTGATAAAAATACAAATCTATCACCATAAAAACGACAATTATTATTGTTTTTGGTCCCCGACGGGGATACGTTTTTAATGTTATACACGTGGCATATTCGCAATTATGTTAGATGTATTTTTGGATGAACAATAACGACAGTGGTACCTTTTCTGAAAGAATTAAAAATATAACGTCTACGGTGTTCAAATCATTAAAATCAATAGACTTCGTAACACATACTTCGCTTTCAACTGTTTCCCCTTGGAAAAACTTTTTGGTGACGGTTTTTGTCCAGATCTCTGGTTTAAGGCATTTTCTTGTGGCTCCGCCATCCAATCGATTTTCTTCTTAATTTAAGTTGTCGTTACGACATTTTTACCAAAAAAAATCGAATTTAGTAGCGACACGTTTCTGTTTAGACTAAATTTACGTATGTTACTATGTAAAGATAGTGAAGACAAATTAAGAGTTTGATCGGTAACCAAATATGTTCATGTCGTTTGTTTCATGAACACGATATATAATTACATTAATTTCCATTATTGACTGAAACGTAAATTAAAGAAGTTATCATAACGTTTGTCTTCCAAAATTATGGAAATATTTTACAACAGATTTTCCATTTGCGTTTGTGTATTCTTTTTTTTTTAAATTAACCTGTATATCCAACCTGTTATGTAGGTCGATTAATCCCAGTACAACCATCTGTTTTGCGGGTAGCTTAGAGTAATCGCATTTGAACCTCCGTGATCACAAACGGATTTGAACTTGTGACCTCCAGACATTTTTGACCTTTGGAGCTCAAGTTCAAACCAATCAGGCACCACCATTGTGGTTATGTTTGTGTATTCTTTAGGTAACAAAAGATGTAAATAATTCTCGAATCGTATAAAAATTGCTACAATTGTTTCAAATTATACGATTCCGTTGGGTTTTTTTTTTAAATTATTAAAATTCTCATTCAGAACTTTACGGGCCTCAAAGATTTTCGCATTTGGACCAACCGTGACGATACATTTAGGTCTGTTATATTAGTCTCGTGTTTTTCGTTCAACATTTTCGCATTTTGCATGCATTTTTCTCTCTCTTTCTTATGTACGTTTATAAGTACGATAAAAATTATTATGTCTATAAATCTACGTGAATCATATATAAATAAATACGTGAAATCCTTATATTTTGTCGTATTATTAGATCGGTCCCTAAATTTACGAGACGGGAAAGAAGACAAAAATAAGGTAACTGCGAAAGATAACGTCAAAAAGAAGTCATAAAAATGCATTTATGATGGCGCACCGCTATTATTATTCTGACGAAAATGTTCGATACTTTGTCAACGTAATTATTACTATTATTTCGACAAGTAACGTGACGATACTACATGTAACATGGGTCATTAATCAGATTAAACCCTAGAGAGATGATTAATTATAAGATTAGCAAACCATAATTATGCTTAATCAATAAGCTAATGAATAACTTATATGTAGAAATTTGCATATTACATAATTAAGCTTCGAATGATCGAAGCTTCGGGGCTATCAGCATCAATGGTGGATAATAACTGCGATAGTCGATCGCTGAGATCATCGACTTCCCTGTGCAAGCTTCTCACGTAGTTGCAAGTCTCTTGTAACACCTTCGAAGCCGAAGCCTTCATTTATAAAAGTAGAATAAACGACGTTCAATATATAGAGCGGTTAACAACAACTTATAGGACGTCAAAAAAATTCAAGTGTCGTAATAGATCGCTTTATAAGACTTTATTTATAGAACCAAAAATTAAAGTGTCTATCTAAAGACGTTGTAATAAGTTTATATGACGTTTTTTGGGGGATCTTAACAAATATTTTAGCACACTTCGTCCCATTAGCAATTTTATAGAACATTATTTGAAAATGTCTTATAAAAAGATGAGTTTATATGACACTTTTCTCAAAAGTGTTCTATAAAATTGCTAATTCGACGTTTTATATTAAAATTGTCTTAAAAAACTTGTTAAGACGTTCAAAAGCGTCTTATCTACTAATTACAACGCCTTTAGATAGAAGGCTTTATATTTTAGTCTTATAAAGCGGTCTATTAGGACACTTATAAATTGGTGGCGTTCTATAAATCCAATTTTTGTTATAGTGCATGTTTTCTCAATCAGATAATCATAAACGTAGATTAAAGTAATAGCAAATTAATGAACCTTGTTAGATCGTTGGATGTGAGTCCCGGGAAGAAGTTGTTGTAACTTGGAGACGAGTTGTATGATCTGATCATCTGTGATTCTTGGACCCCCTGACGACGATTGTCTTGATCTTCGACTCGACATTATATATAATTTGATCTATCCGTATGAATAGATTATGTTTTTTCTCTTGCAGATGAGTTATCTTTTTTGATATAACAAAGGGTTGCAAAGAAAATATGTATATATATAGAGCAAGCAAGTAGGATATATATATATATATATATATATATATATATATATATGTATGTATATGTGTATGTGTATGTATGTATGTGTGTGTGAGTGTGTTGGACATGAGGAAGACAATTGCTTTGGAGTGAGGAGTTGTGAAGTCTACTCTTTCTTAATGTTACCATAAACATTGGAGAAGTTTTAGCAAAATGTCGGCTTATTACATTAAATATTTATAAAATTATATATATATATATATATATATATATATAGATATGCGTGTGTGTATATATAAATAGAACGTTTCAAATGCAACTCATCATGTTTGAACAATCAATACAATTCAATCAATTGAGATATTTATAGAAATAATGAGAGTTCATTTATTATGATTTGAATATTTATGAAAGATGACTAAGGTTCATTAATTATGATCAATAGTTTATATTAAGAAACAATCATAACTTTTATGAAATCACATATTCATCAAATTAAATGGACGGTTGAGATTGAATTATATCAGTTGAACAAATGTAATGAGTTGTATAATTAATCACCTCTCCCTCTCTCTCTTTCTCTCTCTCTCTCTCTATATATATATATATATGCATATATCTATACTATATTATAAAAAATTTGACAAAAACTCTTAAAAATCATTTTTTATGCACGAAGCATTGTTTATTGATGCATATTACTTATCAAGATTACAAGTAAAGTGTGCATAAGTATAACTTATTAAAGCTTCATGTTTGAATTTGTGTAACTAACTGCAGATAAACATAATCAAATACATGATAAACATCTCATTTTAAATATAGCTAGAATAATCATTGAGTTCTAACAGAATACTTAATTATAATATTTTAAAAAAATTATATTATTAAACCTAAATTAAATTACTTTGTTACGTTAAATTAAATTATAATAAAAATTCGAATTAAATAAATTACACAAAAGAAGAACTTTTAAATAGTCAATTTGATACTAATATCGATATAATTTTCTTAAATTTTTATGGTATTTTAAATATTATCGTTTTCTCAAAACAACATAAAACCGTAGTATATCGGCATAGATAAAGAATAAAACAAAACATTGAAATCGAGATGTATCTCGATGCATTGCACAAGTACTCTTCTAGTATATTTGTAGGTTGGGTTCAAATAAGAACACTCCTTTGTTTATAAAAATAGAATAATATTTCTGGACCTCTAACCCTTAAATGTTGTTCGGATGATCAAAACTTTTCATGCTCGTGTCTTCGTTGTTGATTTTGTGGTGATAATAATATTATAAAAGACTTTTTATGATGTAATAATGTTGTGTATATAAATCGAAACCGAGTAATTCGTCCGCCCGTTTCGCTTTTGTCCTGGAGGAAATGGGATTCGAACCCATGCATGATGCAATCTTCTTGTATGTCGATTTAGCAAACCAATGCCTTAAGCCACTCAGCCATACCTCCAAGTTGTTGATCGGAATGGAATTTGATGTGTCGGGTTTGGTGATCACATCCACAATTATGCTTCTATATTCCTAAAAAGGGTAAATATTTTGTTGCTCCCAAATCCTCTAAAACTATGACTTAAAATATAATAATGGGCTTATAAGTGTTCTCGTATTTACGTAAATCACAAGTGTTATCATCAGAACCCTTGTATAGAGAGAGGGGCAGGGGGGAGATCTTTTGTTAACCAAAAAAATAGTGTTAACTTTGTAAACTTGTTAGACCAATCAGAATCATTCTTTAGTCATGGTTACTTCAAATGCTAGAGTGAATGATTAAGGGTAGATAGGTAATTTTTATTTGAATGTTACTTTATTGTATTAAATGAAATGTTACAAAAATAATAACTGTTTGTTTTTAGGGATGATAATAATATCATCATTTTTAAGATTCTCAATTATTATGTTCAATTAATTTGAATGATGGATGATCAAAATAAACACAATATCATTCAACGTATTGATTCAGATGATTTTTTCGTTTCGGGTGTTTTGAATTATATGTTCATTAGTGCACCCAGTTCACATGATATTAATTAGTGAACTCAATTCACACGATATTCATTACTGAACTCAGGTCACATGATGTTCATGCGTGAACTAGAGACATTAATACATAAATAAGTGATCAAATATTCATTAGTGAATAATTTCCATAACCACTTATCATATAAATATTCATTGGTGAACTAATAAAACATTCATAAGTGAATAAGTAAAATGTGATTGATTTTGGTTTAAAGGATGAAGAAGAGATTCCCGGGAAACTGAAATATGTGCATATTAAAGTTCATGACCTTTTCCGATTATACCCTATTCACTATTGTTCATTACGACATAGCATGCGCTCATTTTACTATTATTATAAAATTGTCACATATGTTTTGTGAGACCAAGGGTTTTTCGTGAGACCCGTAAGACCAATTCTCAACCCTTGGATTAGATCTACAATATAAACATTCATAATCACAAAGTTGTCACGAGACTTCTCAATAATCACAAAATTGTCACCGTGTAACTTTAAACCATTAGATCATTAGCTTATAAAATCGATCAATGAATATAAATTATTCTTACGGATCTCACAAAAAACCATTGGTCTCATGTGAACCCAACCCTATATATGTGTGATTACTTATATCACAATTCATTGTATGTATGTATGTATGTATATATATATATATATATATGTGTATGTGTATGTGTATGTGTATGTGTATGTGTATGTGTATGTGTATGTGTATGTGTATGTGTATGTGTATGTGTATGTGTATGTGTNTGTATGTGTATGTGTATGTGTATGTGTATGTGTATGTGTATGTGTATGTGTATGTGTATGTGTATGTGTATGTGTATGTGTATGTGTATGTGTATGTGTGTGAGAGATTACTTATATCACAATTCATTGAATATTCAAAGTAGTTTGTCTTTGACCTTTTATGTGGTCAAGTGAATTACATTCTATTCTATTAGGAGTATCTATCTATATAATATTTAAAATATAAATTTAAAATTTAATATAAAAAAGTATTTTTTAAAAGTTATTTATTTTAAAATTATAATATTAAAATATTAACAAATTTCATAAAATATTGTTTCTTTTTATAAACATTTAATTTCAATAATTCTTATAGATAAGAAGATTAAAAAAATCATTTATTATTCCTAAGTAATCATTTTTAGGAGTCGTTTACCTAAACACTTATCCGATTAGTGTTTACTGGTAAAATTCAACACTATCACTTACCTTATCTAACAAGACTTTAGTCTATCAAAACGACATTGTATGTAAAAATCAACCTGATAAGCGCTAAGCGGGTAAGAGTCGCCACCTTCACTTATCAGGTAAGGCTCTTGAACCTTGTTTTCACTCTTATCGTGTTAGATTCTTAGTCATTCGATAAAGTAATGTGACTTGGTAAATGCTTACTAGGGTAAATGTCTGGTAAACAGCCCCTTAGTTTTGAAATTTTCAAGAATTAAATTGTATCAAAATCTTGACACCCTTCAGAGGAAACTATAATTGCACAGTGTATGAACGCCACTCAAAGTGAAGTCGTTTAGATAGGCTAACAGTAATAAAACCCTAACGCTATTTTTAAGTAGTTTTCGGCTGCTTTTTGCTGTTTCTTAAGGTCTGTCATATGAAAAACAAGCGAGTCAGGTTTTAAAATGACTTACACTCATATGAATTAATCAGATTTTTCAAAATCTTGGAAGGACAGAAGCAATAAAGAATGTAGAGCCCATTGCAATTTTTTTAGGTCGAAAATAAATAGTCAATGTTGTTTTCTTGGGTATCAAACAAAAAACTGGGGTACGTAGACATCTGACTGGGATGGTGGATTTAGAGAATGATTGGTCTGTGAACGTGGTTTTCACATTGCATGTTTTTTCTTTACAAGTTGCTGGTTGATGTTTTTATCGGAATATGTCGGGGACTTCTCTGGTAATTCGTTTTTTAGTGTAACAACTCGTCCCACAAATCAAAAACGAGATTTGTAAGCTCCTTATAAGTGTGACATAGCAACTAAATCAAGAATAAATGCGTTTCTAGCAACCCAAATCTCCCCAGCAGCCAGAGAAGATAAAACTGCCCCAAAAATCCCATTTTAGATTTGATATAACTGCAATTATACCAGGACTAACGATGTTTCTCTCTCTCCCTCACCTTTTGGCGTAGGAAGGTTAGATTTAGCTGGTACCTAGAAAATATTCCCTATTGTGGCAGGCTCGGTAATGGGAGAGGATGGAAATGTTCGACGGATAGGGATAAAAGGCGTTGGTGAGGCGACCGGAAGGCAACTCTATTATCTAAAAAATAAGGAAAGGAGCGACCGAGCCGGGGGGAGGAGGGGCATGGGACGGCCATCTCAAGTCAAGTTGTGGGCTACCAATAACTTCCATCATGGTTTTAAGTTGAATTTGAAGTTATTGGGTCAACCTGTTGTTTTCGATTTTGGGGTGTTACAAATGTTATCCAGAGGCAATCCTTCTACCATAGGGATGGCGGGGGTATTATAACATCTTAGGTGAATTCCACATCATTGATAACGGTAAGAAAGATTATGGGAGGCCTGACGAGGACGTCAGAAGTTTAAAAGAGGGAGTTTGTAACAGCGCATTTCACATGGATAGAAAATGAGATTTGTAAGCTTCTTATAAGCCAAAAGTTGTAGGTTACCAATAACTTCCACAATTATTTTAAGTTGGATTCAAAGTTATTGAATGAGTTTGTTGCTTTTAACTGTAGGTTTACTTTCAGCCAACCCCCCTAATCATCAACACTGTATTCCAACAACTTCATCAATCTGCTTCTAGCCTTTTATGTTTACGCAAATAGCATAAATAATATTTGTTTTGTCTCTTCATCATGGCATTAGCGTCGTCGCATCGTCTGATTGTCTGATACACTGCTTGTGGACCTTCCCGACATCTTCACGTTCACATATAAACTTTCTCTTTTGT